TAGGATCATTCCAGTTCAAATCAAATAAATATTCATCCATGAAATTTTATATTTTGGCTTTCGTAACTACAACTCTATCTTTTTCAGAATAAACATTAGCATAATCTAAAATTTGAGCCGGGGACCTCTGCTGTTGAAATGACACAGAATGACTCAGTTACAATATAGTTACTATACGCCTGGCCAAAATGTTACAAGTGACCTATTAATGTTTTAGTCAAATATAAAAAGCCCACAATTGCAAGGGAATAGGATAAACGTCATATGAAATAAGCCTGCATAGTTTGCCATTTGTATATTTTAATTCACTTTGATTAAATTTTATTTCAACGTCCTTTCCATGTCAAATATGTTAAAGGTTACAGAATGCTTTTTATTGTGATTAAATACAGACACACTTAAGGCTAAGGATACAGAAGGAAGTGTGAAAGGGAGAGCAGAGCCTACTCAGGGACAAATAAAAGAGCCAACAACCCAGCAGCAGAACCCAGAACCACTAGCTAGGAACAAGGTAGATGAAGATGATTACTTTGCTCGACCTCAGCCACAAGATATACATACATTTTTTTTCTTATCATCCTCAACAACCCTCAAATGTTCTTATACCAAAGGTTTTCAATAGTAAAAATGGAACAAACCACAAGTGGTTGAGTTACTGTGAAAAAAACTATCTCTGTACTGTTCTGTTTGTTTGGCATTTGCACCTTTGGTATGTGATGGCCCTTTCATAAAGGGCATGAAAGACTGGAAACACGTTCACCAAAGGATAGTGGAACACGAAAGATGTAAGACACACAGAGATTGTGCAGATGCTTACTTTATGAAAATACAAAATGCAGATGTGAAAAGCCTGTTGACTGGCAACCAAATGTCATTATGTGCTGAAAAATAGAGAGCAAAACTTGTTCCTCCTGTAAAAACTGTCATCTGTGTTTATCTCATCCTCTCAGTACAATCTTCTAACTGATGCCTACCATGTGATTGGACTCGCCTTCAAGTTGTTATTAATATTGTCCACCACACAAGTAGCCTGTGAGAGAAACTTCTCAACTGTGAAATTCATAAAATAACAGGCTCAGGAGCACTTTAACCCAGAAAAACCTTAAGGCATTCGTGCTCATGTGCACTGAGAAAGAAATTCTCATGTCTTTGGACAATGACACTGTGATAAACAAAATTGCAGAGACCAGTCCACTACTCAGGCACTTATTAATTTTTTAGAGTTGGCCATGTTGCATTGAAGATGCACTTAGGCAGATGAAAAAGAGATTAGAAAGAAAAAGATTCATGCAGATAACAGTGCCATTATTGTTTTAATTTGTATTTGTGTTTGAGGGTTGATATGTACAATACAAACAATTTTGCATAGAAAATATCAGTTTTATGTTATTTTTGTGAGAAATATTTATTGTAAAATGTATTTTATTATACCCTATGTAAACACAACTTTTTACAAAAAATAGATTGATACTGTCTGTTAAAAACAGTTAAAAAACTTTGTTTTGAAAATAATAGCGTACTGTTAACTGTTCTAATAAATATTAACTGTCAATCGACACTTGGCTTTATTTGCACTAATTTGGAAATTAATTATTTGAAAAATATAATGAATTACAAGGCTGCGGAGAGCAGTGTACTATTGCATACTTATATACTTAGTTTTTAATTACGTTATTTTAATATAGTCAGTTGTGAACTAAAGTGGGCCGCTCTGAGTCATAAAACTCCAGGGCTGAAAATGAGTCTCACTCCGGCCCTGATCCCTTTGATATATGTGTTTGCTGGCTCTGACCTTGGACTGTGATACTGACCCGTAAGTGTGTTTTTATACCCCGTGTCTTGTATGGTTTTTTGTTTAGCGTTAGTTCTCTTATTAAAGAGACGGTTTTGTTCATCACTTCCTCGTCTGGCCATTTAATAGAGTTCACCAAAACCTTTTCGGCAGCATCACGCGCCAATTCGTGACAAGTTTCTGTCCTTATGCTATGCTAACCATCTCCTGTTTGTAGCCTAATGTTTTGCAAAAAGACATGACAGCGATCTTTTCATGTAATTCTTGGCAAGAAAGCAATGAAGTGTATTTCAGAAAGAATTAAATTCTTCTCAAATACAATATTAGCTATGTCTGCTAAGTTGAAGCGGTAAATTTCCTCAAAATTCCCACAATCTGCTGAACTTCTGGACAGGTGTCCCACAGAATAGCCCCTCAAAGACTGCAGCTTACACCTGCCATCTTAAGCAATAACTCCAAATAATTTACGGTTTGACATCAATGTCTCCATGCCACAGTAAAACATGACCTCTCTCTACACTAGGGGGAATAGAGTCCAACAGAACACTGTGACATGGATCCTCAGGGGAACAGTGGAGCTCTTCAGACAATGCTCCTGGGGTATGCACTCCCCTGCCAGGATAAACAGCAGCGCCCCTGTTCATCATTAACATTTGATTAGCCACAAAGGTAGTATTTACTGTAGTAGTAGATCATACAGCTTCATATTATTTAAATAACTGTGTTTCTTTATAATGGTCTGTGGTGGAAAAGCAGCAACAAGCCACTTCTCACCACTAGGTGGCAGGGCAACCTAGCAGTTTCTGGACTTTCAACTCTTTTGTCTTGAGAAAGAAAGACACAATAACACACATAGAGAGAGAGTGTGTGTTGAAAATAGAGGTAGAGTTATGTAAAGACTCTTCGAGTTAATCATTCTGGGTCTGAGGATCTCTTTGTTGTGTGGTCTTGTCATTAACAAAAAGCAGCCAGAGGTTGTGGAGCTCTTCTCATCCTTGTGCATGCTGTTTGGACCCAGTCATGACAGGGTCCCCGTGACAGTGAGAACTGCAAAAGTCATGCTCTCTCTTCTCTCCACTTCAACCTCACACTCTTTGCTCTGCTTTGCATTACTGTTTTTTTTCAGTGTAGAAGGCACCTGTGGAGGACTGAAAGGAGGATGACCTTTTTTAACCAACTTTTTATTTTTTCAGCTGGAATCATGACTTCATGCTGGAGTAGAAGTAGTGATGGACAAACGAGGCTCCATGAAACTTTGAACCCTTTTGGACCATTGTATTGAAAATTGGTTCATTACTGGAAGCTTCATTCATTGAGCACGTGGGTGACACCTGCTGGTGCAGTGGTTGTTGTACAGCCTTGCAAAGGTGATGCTGACACACCATGCGTGTGCACTGAGTTTTGTTGTACCGTGGATTTTACTTAACTGCAAAGGAATATACAGCCAGGTCAACTTGCCGGGTGATCTCTCATGCATTTACCTCAGACACCCCGATCTTCTGTCTGCTTTCCTTCTGAGCTGTCTCTGAGGCTGTCCCGGTGACACAGTTTAGTGCAACTTTTCATTTCCTCGAAGCTTTACAATAAAGGCAGTGGCTGCAAAATTAGCACTAGCTATAGAGTCACCATGGACACTTTTAGGGGTGATACAGTGAGGAACAGAAATATTTGAACACCCTGCGATTTTGCAAGTTCTCCCCCTTAGAAATCATGGAGGGGTCTGAAATTCACATTGTAGGTGTATTCCCACTCTGAGAGACAGAATTAAAAAAAAATTTCAGCAAATCACATTGTATGATTTTTAAAGAATTTATTTGTCTTGCACTGCTGAACATAAGTATTTGAACACCTGAGAAAATCAGTGTTAATATTTGGTACAGAAACCTTTGTTTGCAATTACAGAGGTCAAACATTTCCTGTAGTTCTTGACCAGGTTTGCACACACTGCAACAGGGATTTTGGCCCACTCCTCCACACAGATCTCCTCTAGATCTGTCAGGTTTCGGGGCTGTCGCTGAGCAACGCGGAGTTGAAGCTACAGTAAATGCTGGCCAAGAATTCAGTGAACACATAGAATGAGATACTCAACTAACTATGTTAACATAATTGTAACATACAAGTAAGCAAACTCATGCATGCTCTACTCCACTTCAACCTCACACTCTTTGCTCTGCTTTGCATTACTGTTTTTTTCAGTGTAGAAGGCACCTGTGGAGGACTGAAAGGAGGATGACCTTTTTTAACCAACTTTTTCTTTTTTCAGCTGGAATCATGACTTCATGCTGGAGTAGAAGTAGTGATGGACAAACGAGGCTCCATGAAACTTTGAACCCTTTTGGACCATTGTATTGAAAATTGGTTCATTACTGGAAGCTTCATTCATTGAGCACGTGGGTGACACCTGCTGGTGCAGTGGTTGTTGTACAGCCTTGCAAAGGTGATGCTGACACACCATGCGTGTGCACTGAGTTTTGTTGTACCGTGGATTTTACTTAAATAAAGCTGAAATCTAACTTCATTTTACACGTGTCTGTTGTTTTTCTTCCTTGCCTTATAAAGTATCTTAAATGAAATGTTGACCAGCTAAGTAATCTTTTTTCCCAAGAATTCCTAAGAATTTGAAATTTACAATTATAGATCTCAAATGACTGGACAGAGCAAATATTTACAGGCTTCAATGAGGCTGTGGATGTAATTAATGTTACAGTTTAATATATGTTTTTTGATTGTGCTTGGTGTACACTGGGTGTGCTTGTGTGACTTAGGCATTTTTATTCAAATAATAGTTTCTCCACAGTAGATGGTTTTAGTCAATGGCTCCATAGCGAGGCTATCCAAAAAGTACTGACAGGAGGTAAGACACAGAGCGCTGTTTCATCCATCATAAATACATTTGTATGTCACCGATGTTTCGGTTAGTGAACCGTGCGAGTGAAATAACGGTAATCCCGCCAGGCAGCTGCACTACAGCGTCACGCGAATTACGTTGCGTTGGAGATGCGTCACTGAAAGTTCATAGTGAAATCATCGCTACCGATAAGGTAAATAAAACACTATTTAAGCTAAAATATTAAATTACATATGATAAGATAAAGCATACTTTTACACAACTTTCAGAAGAACCAAATGGAGCCACCCAAAAACCCCGGGAACGATCTGGCCAGAGGGTCTGAAAGGGTATGTGATGAGCTCGGCCGTTTGCTCAGTGACGCGGTCCACCTCCGGGCTGATTCTGGAGCTTTAGGTGTGAGGAGATTCTTCACCGCCTGAGGAGGTTTGTGGGATTTGTTCTCAAATACACTACTAAACAAATGCATTTCATTAGTGAAACATGGGCTTCACAAAATCAACAGAAAGGCTTCAACAAATGGATTGATCCCCTTTATGGAGGATATTCCATAAGATGAAGGAACAGTGGAGATGTACAAATAGCCATAACTTTTGCTTCAGAAGATTTTCAGACCCGATTTACAATGGGAGTCTATTGATGAGTGAGGCAGCACTCTCTCTGGAATGTGCTGGTTCCTTAAAAAAACAATTCAATCTATCGCAATAACAAGAGCATATTCGGATTCCTCACAATTTTGTCTTGTAATACTTTACAGCAGGGCTCGGCAACGTCTGGCCCGCCCTGAAATATTTTTGGTCCGCCGGATGAATTTTGAAACGTTATATTTATATAGAATGAGTCAGAGTCACACGAATAGGGTCCGATCCTTTTTTATGTTATTTTATGACTATTAATTTGAGGTCAATTTGACACTTTCAAAGGTTCACTGTGAGTCGCTCTGTAACCCCTCCCCTCCTCTCCCGCACTGTGCTGCAGCTTGCGGTGTGTAGTGTCACTGCTGCACTCACATCCATGAAGCTGAGCATATAAATTAAATAAAGGACATATTCAGACACTTTATTATAACAACTTAATTATTATTATGCATTTGTTTTTATGAACAGTGACCAGTGCTTCATCTGGAGGACTTTTGAAGCGGGATTCAACGTGATCCTAAAAGACAGAAACACAGAACGGCCAATATGAGCACTAAAAAAACGGATCGATAACTACAACATTTGAAAGACAGTGGGAAAATTGGTATTTCCCTTCTTTCACCATTTTCTGTATGTCTGGTGTTAGAGATGTCATTTTAATGCGCAGGGCATTCTGCA